TGACCATGATTTGGGCATCCTCTGCTTCAACATGACTTCATAACTTCTAACAATGGAAGATTCAACTTTTCCTGTAATGTCTTGTAAAATTCTGGAGCGGACCTTTTAAGGCCCTTCTTGAGGGGGCTCACCCAGGACACCCACCCACCCCATTCCATGTAAGAATTTTGCCAGTTAGAGCATTTGGTGAAGAAGGATATCAAGAGGGATCCTGTCCAATGCTCTGCGGTGATCCTGGGATCTGCCTGATCTTCTCAGCCTCCATCTGCCCCCACCTTCCCTTTCTCCAAGATCCCCCCCATTCCTTCCACCCTCCCTGCCACCCCTATCCTGGGCAGAAGCTGCCATCTAGGAGCCCTGACCCCTCCCCACCTCCTTCCCCAGAAATCGCCAGTTCCTTCAGCTGGAAGGTCAGCCAGCTGCAGTCAGAGCCTGGTCTGATGGGGGGGTGTCTTCCTTCAAAAAACCCCAAATCCCCCCCTCAGCAAGAATCTTGGCATGGCCCTGGCAATGCTTGGCATGTCCTGGAACCAGAGAGTGGCCAGGGCTCTGGACCTGGTCAGTCCCATGTAGCACCTGAAGTAACCAACTTGTTCTCCTGGGTTCTGGTCCCTCCTGTGTCTCTCATGTGCCTCCTTCTCCTCCTTCCCTCCAGCCAAGCCCACCAAGCCCACATGACAACTATAAAACGGCTATATAAACTGTTTATGAGTTGACGGTCACAATATTTGGGGAGGGGGAAGCAGGAAAGGAGCCCAGAGGTTCTGCCTGGGTCAGGCAGGCAATGGATGCCCCACAGAGGCTGCCTGGATCTGGGCCTGACCTTGTGCGACTGTGTCCAGATACACAACTGGGGGGCAGATGCGGACTCTGCCGCCTCCTTCAGCTGCGGGGGGACCCGGCTCTGGCCTGCTGAGGCTGGTGCTGGGCCTGGGGGAGTTTGAGCCTTCCAGCCCCCCCCCCCATCCCTGGAAAGGATCCAGGCCACCTCTGGACCCCCATAGCTTTTCACACAGAATCCGGAATTCAGGATCTGTTTCACCCGCCTTTGCTTAACTCACTGGAACTTGAATCTCTCCCAAAGACTAGAAAAAAATGTTTTCTATAGATGTAGTGAAACATAAGACACAGAATGTCCAGTTTTTCAGACTTGAATGGTTAATGTTATAGCCCTATACTTAATAGTACTGTTTGGATTATTATTGTCCAAGAATTACTATTAAAATTCCATTATCTTATAAATTATAAATTTATTCTGTGGTTTAATCTTTTATCTGTCCATCCAGCAATCCACCCACCTTAAAATGATATTGAAATAATTTACAAGGAAGAAAATCTGCTCAGATCTTCTGATACATCTTCCCATGGATAAGAATATTTTTTCTTCTTTCAGCAAAATACGTCCTTCAACCCCCCCTCCAGAAGAAGGAAGTTCATCTCAGAGGGTGGATTCTTAGGACGGAATCCCGGGTCTGATTTCTCTCCCTGTAAATAAAATCCTCTCCCTCCCACAATCCTTGCAGTCAAAATTCCCTGGCAAACAGCAAACGGCAGGAATTAAGAATCTGTCTCCTTCATAATATAAAATGTTTGTAAGATTTATTGCGCTTCAATCCTTTTACGAGACTGAGTTTCAGCCAGTTTTTTTTTTTTTTATCTTCTGGCACGACAGGGAATTAGTTTGTTTGTTTATTGGAATGTTCAATGTTTATTTCAAATCAAGGCAAAGCTGAGTTTATTTGGAAACAATATTTTGTTTAAAAGACATTTTGTACGAATACACATACGAAAGTTGGAGGGAGTTGTGGACAAAAACGCCCTCAAAATGTACAGGTGAGGAACAACGATGGCGAGGGTCCTTTGTCCTTGAATTGGGGAGGGGGACTGAGGAAGAGTTGCTGCTCAGACGGGGGAACCTCCCTGAATTCTGGGCTTGGGCCGGAAGAGAAGCGGGGATCGGGGGTCTTGGCTGGGCTCTGGGTGGGGGGAAACTCCACTTGCGACCCTTCCTGGAGGAGAAGATGACCCGAGTCCCCTTCCCACCCTGGGGATCTCCCTCGCTCACTTGGGATCTCACAGGTCTCCCAGAAGAGGCTGGACGGCCGTTTGTCCGGGGTGGGACAAGAGCTCCTGCCTCGGCCAGGGGGTCGGACTAGATTAAAAAGAGGGCAGAGAAGAGCAATAATGATGATTAGAGAGTTGGAGCTTAAGATGTATGAAGAACGGTTGCGGGAATCAGGTATGGTTTGCCTCGTGGAGAGAAGGACTGGGGGGTGGCATGAGAGCAGTCTTCTAACATCTGGGGGGCTGCCCCCAAAGAAGAGGGGCCCACCTGTTCTCCAAAGCCCCAGAAGGCAGGACGAGAAACGATGGATGGGAACTAAGCAAGGAGAGAAGCAACCTGGAACTAAGGAGAAATAAATCTCTTTTGACAGTGAGAGCAATGAACCAGTGGAAGAGAAGTTGCCACCAGACGTTGTGGCTGCTCCATCACTGGAGGCTTCCAAAAGGAGACAGGAGAAACATTTGGCGGGAATGGGATAGGGTCTCCTGCCTGAGCAGGGGGTTGGACTAGAAGACCTCCCAGGTCCCTTCCAATTCTGTAATTCTGGGCTCTTCTTTTCTGTCTCAGCTTGGAACTGTCTCCTCCAGTGGGTGAAAGCAAGAGAGACCTTGCCCGGAGACTGATGATGCTGCATAATGGCGGATTCTGATTGGTTCTGCTTCTTCTGGCTACTCTCCTCCCTGACTTTGAGCGAAGGAAGCTCTTTTTTAACCCTTTCCCCTCCACTCCGCTTGAAGATGCTACCCAGGTGGGACCGAAACCTTGGGGGGGGGGGGAA